GTCTCACTCGATCAGAAGGTGGGAAATATATAAATCTAGTGAGCTAATAAGGTTTGAAAGGAATCTAATGCATATGTATATGGAAAGTGGTGCATTGGCCAGGTCGGTCAGTATGGGAACTTAGAGTGCAAATGCCTGGGAGAACGGAACTGCTCAGATCTCGCATAATACACGGAATCTAGTGGTTTCACTCAAATAGAGGGTAGGAAATAAATTCATCTAGTGAACGTAAGGGTTTGAAAGATAACTAACGCACATGTGTAGAGAAAATGGTGCATCGGCCTGTCTGGCCGGCATTTCGCACTTATGGTGCAAGTAGGGCCAAGGAGAACGGAAACGCTCATTTCTCAAAAAGTAAAGGGAATCTAGCGGTCTCACTCAATCAGAAGGTGGGAAATATATAAATCTAGTGAGCTAATAAGGTTCGGAAGGAATCTAATGCATATGTATATGGAAAGTGGTGCATTGGCCAGGTCGGTCAGTATGGGAACTTAGAGTGCAAATGCCTGGGAGAACGGAACCGCTCAGATCTCGCATAATACACGGAATCTAGTGGTCTCACTCAAATATAAGGTAGGAAATATATTCATCTAGTGAACGTAAGGGTTTGAAAGGTAACTAACGCACATGTGTAGAGAAAATGGTGCATCGGCCAGTCTGGCCGGCATTTCGCACTTATGGTGCAAGTAGGGCCAAGGAGAACGGAAACGCTCATTTCTCAAAAAGTAAAGGGAATCTAGCGGTCTCACTTGATCAGAAGGTGGGAAATATATAAATCTAGTGAGCAAATAAAGTTCGAAAGGAATCTAATGCATATGTATATGGAAAATGGTGCATTGGCCAGGTCGGTCAGTATGGGAACTTAGAGTGCAAATGCCAGGGAGAACGGAAGCGCTCATATCTTGCATAGTACACGGAATCTAGTGGTCTCACTCAAATAGAAGGTAGGAAATAAATTCATCTAGTGAATGTAAGGATTTGAAAGGTAACTACCGCACATGTGTAGAGAAAATCGTGCATCGGCCAGTCTGGCCGGCATTTCGCACTTATAGTGCAAGTAGGGCCAAGGAGAACGGAAACGCTCATTTCTCAAAAATTACAGGGAATCTAGCGGTCTCACTCGATCAGAAGGTTGGAAAGATATAAATCTAGTGAGCTAATAAGGTTCGAAAGGAATCTAATGCATATGTATATGGAAAGTGGTGCATTGGCCAGGTCGGTCAGTATGGGAACTTAGAGTGCAAATGCCTGGGAGAACGGAACCGCTCAGATCTCGCATAATACACGGAATCTAGTGGTCTCACTCAAATATAAGGTAGGAAATATATTCATCTAGTGAACGTAAGGGTTTGAAAGGTAACTAACGCACATGTGTAGAGAAAATGGTGCATCGGCCAGTCTGGCCGGCATTTCGCACTCATAGTGCAGGTGGGGCCAGGGAGAACGGAAACGCTCGTTTCTCGAAAAGTAGAGGGAATCTAACGGTCTCACTCGATCAGAAGGTGGGAAATATATAAATCTAGTCAGCTAAAAAGTTTTGAAATGTATTCAACGCACATGTATAGAGAAAATGGTGCATTGGCCAGGTCGGTCAGTATCGGAACTTCAAATGCAAATGCCAGGGAGAACGGAAGCGCTCAGATCTCGCATTGTACACAGAATCAAGTGGTCTCACTGAAATAGAAAGTAGGAAATATATTCATCTAGTGAACGTAAGGGTTTGAAAGGTAACTAATGCACATGTGTAGAGAAAATGGTGCATCGGCCAGTCTGGCCGGCATTTCGCACTTATAGTGCAAGTAGGGCCAAGGAGAACGGAAACGCTCATTTCTCAAAAAGTAGAGGGAATCTAGCAGTCTCACTCGATCAGAAGGTGGGAAATATATAAATATAGTGAGCTAATAAGGTTTGAAAGGAATCTAATGCATATGTATATGGAAAATGGTGCATTGGCCAGGTCGGTCAGTATGGGAACTTAGAGTGCAAATGCCAGGGAGAACGGAAGCGCTCAGATCTCGCATAGTACACGGAATCAAGTGGTCTCACTCAAATAGAAAGTAGGAAATATATTCATCTAGTGAACATAAGGGTTTGAAAGGTAACTAACGCACATGTGTAGAGAAAATTGTGCATCGGCCAGTCTGGCCGGCATTTCGCACTTATAGTGCAACTAGGGCCAAGGAGAACGGAAACGCTCATTTCTCTAAAAATAGAGGGAATCTAGCGGTCTCACTCGATCAGAAGGTGGGAAATATATAAATCTAGTGAGCTAATAAGGTTCGAAAGGAATCTAATGCATATGTATATGGAAAATGGTGCATTGGCCAGGTCGGTCAGTATGGGAACTTAGAGTGCAAATGCCAGGGAGAACGGAAGCGCTCAGATCTCGCATAGTACACGGAATCAAGTGGTCTCACTCAAATAGAAAGTAGGAAATATATTCATCTAGTGAACATAAGGGTTTGAAAGGTAACTAACGCACATGTGTAGAGAAAATTGTGCATCGGCCAGTCTGGCCGGCATTTCGCACTTATAGTGCAACTAGGGCCAAGGAGAACGGAAACGCTCATTTCTCTAAAAATAGAGGGAATCTAGCGGTCTCACTCGATCAGAAGGTGGGAAATATATAAATCTAGTGAGCTAATAAGGTTTGAAAGGAATCTAATGCATATGTATATGGAAAATGGTGCATTGGCCAGGTCGGTCAGTATGGGAACTTAGAGTGCAAATGCCAGGGAGAACGGAAGCGCTCAGATCTCGCATAGTACACGGAATCTAGTGGTCTCACTCAAATAGAAAGTAGGAAATATATTCATCTAGTGAACGTAAGGGTTTGAAAGGTAACTAACGCACATGTGTAGAGAAAATTGTGCATCGGCCAGTCTGGCCGGCATTTCGCACTTATAGTGCAACTAGGGCCAAGGAGAACGGAAACGCTCATTTCTCAAAAAGTAGAGGGAATCTAGCGGTCTCACTCGATCAGAAGGTGGGAAATATATAAATATAGTGAGCTAATAAGGTTCGAAAGGAATCTAATGCATATGTATATGGAAAGTGGTGCATTGGCCAGGTCGGTCAGTATGGGAACTTAGAGTGCAAATGCCAGGGAGAACGGAAGCGCTCATATCTTGCATAGTACACGGAATCTAGTGGTCTCACTCAAATAGAAGGTAGGAAATAAATTCATATAGTGAACGCAAGGGTTTGAAAGGTAACTAACGCACATGTGTAGAGAAAATGGTGCATCGGCCAGTCTGGCCGGCATTTCGCACTTATGGTGCAAGTAGGGCCAAGGAGAACGGAAACGCTCATTTCTCAAAAAGTAAAGGGAATCTAGCGGTCTCACTTGATCAGAAGGTGGGAAATATATAAATCTAGTGAGCAAATAAAGTTCGAAAGGAATCTAATGCATATGTATATGGAAAATGGTGCATTGGCCAGGTCGGTCAGTATGGGAACTTAGAGTGCAAATGCCAGGGAGAACGGAAGCGCTCATATCTTGCATAGTACACGGAATCTAGTGGTCTCACTCAAATAGAAGGTAGGAAATAAATTCATCTAGTGAATGTAAGGATTTGAAAGGTAACTACCGCACATGTGTAGAGAAAATCGTGCATCGGCCAGTCTGGCCGGCATTTCGCACTTATAGTGCAAGTAGGGCCAAGGAGAACGGAAACGCTCATTTCTCAAAAATTACAGGGAATCTAGCGGTCTCACTCGATCAGAAGGTTGGAAATATATAAATCTAGTGAGCTAATAAGGTTCGAAAGGAATCTAATGCATATGTATATGGAAAGTGGTGCATTGGCCAGGTCGGTCAGTATGGGAACTTAGAGTGCAAATGCCTGGGAGAACGGAACCGCTCAGATCTCGCATAATACACGGAATCTAGTGGTCTCACTCAAATATAAGGTAGGAAATATATTCATCTAGTGAACGTAAGGGTTTGAAAGGTAACTAACGCACATGTGTAGAGAAAATGGTGCATCGGCCAGTCTGGCCGGCATTTCGCACTCATAGTGCAGGTGGGGCCAGGGAGAACGGAAACGCTCGTTTCTCGAAAAGTAGAGGGAATCTAACGGTCTCACTCGATCAGAAGGTGGGAAATATATAAATCTAGTCAGCTAAAAAGTTTTGAAATGTATTCAACGCACATGTATAGAGAAAATGGTGCATTGGCCAGGTCGGTCAGTATCGGAACTTCAAATGCAAATGCCAGGGAGAACGGAAGCGCTCAGATCTCGCATTGTACACAGAATCAAGTGGTCTCACTGAAATAGAAAGTAGGAAATATATTCATCTAGTGAACGTAAGGGTTTGAAAGGTAACTAACGCACATGTGTAGAGAAAATGGTGCATCGGCCAGTCTGGCCGGCATTTCGCACTTATAGTGCAAGTAGGGCCAAGGAGAACGGAAACGCTCATTTCTCAAAAAGTAAAGGGAATCTAGCAGTCTCACTCGATCAGAAGGTGGGAAATATATAAATCTAGTGAGTTAATTAGGTTCGGAAGGAATCTAATGCATATTTATATGGAAAATGGTGCATTGGCCAGGTCGGTCAGTATGGGAACTTAGAGTGCAAATGCCTGGGAGAACGGAACCGCTCAGATCTCGCATAATACACGGAATCTAGTGGTCTCACTCAAATATAAGGTAGGAAATATATTCATCTAGTGAACGTAAGGGTTTGAAAGGTAACTAATGCACATGTGTAGAGAAAATGGTGCATCGGCTAGTCTGGCCGGCTTTTCACACTCATAGTGCAGGTGGGGCCAGGGAGAACGGAAACGCTCGTTTCTCAAAACGTAGAGGGAATCTAACGGTCTCACTTGATCAGAAGGTGGGAAATATATAAATCTAGTCAGCTAAAAAGGTTTGAAATGTATTCAACGCACATGTATAGAGAAAATGGTGCATTGGCCAGGTCGGTCAGTATCGGAACTTAAAATGCAAATGCCAGGGAGAACAGAAGCGCTCTAATCTCGCATAGTACACGGAATCAAGTGGTCTCACTCAAATCAAGGAAGACACAGGGAGCAGCACGAGGGGACAGCTTGTCCGCAGACAAGTCGCGGACAAACGCCCGAGATCCCCAGACACGGAACACAGACGCATCGCCAACCTTCCCCGTCCACAGCAAGGCTGGGGACATCGCAGGCCGAGAGACCCGGGGGTGAAGGTTGAGCTGATGCGCCGCGTACCTCACCGCAAACGGCCACAGAAAATGGGGGGCAGCCGCATGCATCATGGACGTACGAGCGACATCCATGACCATGCCAATGCGGCGCTCAGCAATCCCATTTTGCTGTGGTGAGTCCTGAAGCGTGAAGGTCTGGCTGATCCCCCGTGCACGACAGTAGTCTCGCAGAAGGCGAGAAGAGAACTCTCCGCCTCTGTCAGAGTGCAGACGCAGAACAGGAAAGTCCGAGCCGAAGCTCTTCCTGAGCTGGAGACGAGCCTCGCGGATCCAGTCGATCAGCACCTCAGTGACCGCACCCTTGCTGCGCAAGGGGAGGACTGTGGTGTAACGCGAGTAGTCGTCAACCACCAACAGGAAGTAGCGCTCGTAACCCTGCCCACGGACGGGGGCTGGGCCCCACACATCCATGTGAAGCGTCTGCAGGGGAGCCTCTGTCGGGGGGAAGTGGGAGGAGTGAGGAGTAGCCCGGAGGCGACCCTCGACACAGGGGACACAGGAAGGTCCTGGCCCGGAGGGGAGAGGAGGGAGAGACTGGGGAAGACCAGAGACAAGGACACGGGAAGCCATGCTCCGAAGACGGGGCAAGGAGGGGTGGCCAAGACGGTGGTGCCACAGGAGAGTCTCGTGAGACAGGAGGCGACAAGAACAGGGGGCAGACTCAGGACCTGACCGGGACGCAGCAGCAAGTACCTGACCCGACGCAGCCACCTGACCAGACGCAGGGACAGGAGGAGACTCAACGGTCAGGGTGTAGAGACTCGACCCCGGCCGACGCGAGAACGTGGCCAGGTGTTGGCCTGTGCGTGCCTCCGTGCAGTGGGTCACCCGCTGACTCGCAGGAGTGAACTAGTGAACACCCACATCCTGCAGGTCCGCTCCACTCACCAAGTTCGTAGAGAACGAGGGAAGGTACAGACCCGACAGGGTGCCCGAAGGGGCAGCCGGACACGGGAGGACAGTGGAGAAGTGAGACAGGACAGGACCCCCAGAGGGGTCAGCAAGGGAGACTGCAACCGGCCGGCCGAGCGGCGTAAGGGTAGTGCGGTCTCGAAAGAAGGAGCGAGAAGCTCCGGAGTCAAGTGTGAAAGTGAGGGAGGACGAGGACGACTCAGTACCTGAGAGCGCAGTCTCACCAGTACCTGAGAGCGCAGACGCACTGGCACCTAGAGCAGCAGCCTCACAAGCACCTAGCGCAGCAGTACCAATGCCCGGGTCGGGCTGGAAACAGCGGTAACCCTCATTCTCCTCACTATAATCCACAACATACATAGCAGTAAGGATAGCATCAAAATCAAGATCAAAGATCGCTACACCAGCCCTGAGAAGCCCTGGGAGAACGGAACCGCTCAGATCTCGCATAATACACGGAATCTAGTGGTCTCATTCAAATGTAAGGTAGGAAATATATTCATCTAGTGAACGTAAGGGTTTGAAAGGTAACTAACGCACATGTGTAGAGAAAATGGTGCATCGGCCAGTCTGGCCGGCATTTCGCACTCATAGTGCAGGTGGGGCCAGGGAGAACGGAAACGCTCGTTTCTCAAAAAGTAGAGGGAATCTAACGGTCTCACTCGATCAGAAGGTGGGAAATATATAAATCTAGTCAGCTAAAAAGGTTTGAAATGTATTCAACGCACATGTATAGAGAAAATGGTGCATTGGCCAGGTCGGTCAGTATCGGAACTTAAAATGCAAATGCCTGGGAGAACGGAAGCGCTCTAATCTCGCATAGTACACGAAATCAAGTGGTCTCACTCAAATAGAAAGTAGGAAATATATTTATCTAGTGAACGTAAGGGTTTGAAAGGTAACTAACGCACATGTGTAGAGAAAATTGTGCATCGGCCAGTCTGGCCGGCATTTCGCACTAATAGTGCAACTAGGGCCAAAGAGAACGGAAACGCTCATTTCTCAAAAAGTAGAGGGAATCTAGCGGTCTCACTCGATCCGAAGGTGGGAAATATATAAATCTAGTGAGCTAATAAGGTTCGAAAGGAATCTAATGCATATGTATATGGAAAATGGTGCATTGGCCAGGTCGGTCAGTATGGGAACTTAGAGTGCAAATGTCACGGAGAACGGAACCGCTCAGATCTCGCATAGTACACGGAATCTAGTGGTCTCACTCAAATAGAAGGTAGGAAATAAATTCATCTGGTGAACATAAGGGTTTGAAAGGTAACTAACGCACATGTGTAGAGAAAATGGTGCATCGGCCAGTCTGGCCGGCATTTCGCACTTATAGTGCAAGTAGGGCCAAGGAGAGCGGAAACACTCATTTCTCAAAAAGTAAAGGGAATCTAGCGGTCTCACTCGATCAGAAGGTGGGAAATATATAAATCTAGTGAGCTAATAAGGTTCGAAAGGAATCTAATGCATATGTATATGGAAAATGGTGCATTGGCCAGGTAGATCAGTATGGGAACTTAGAGTGCAAATGCCAAGGAGAACGAAAGCGCTCAGATCTCGCATAGTACACGGAATCTAGTGGTCTCACTCAAATATAAGGTAGGAAATATATTCATCTAGTGAATGTAAGGGTTTGAAAGGTAACTAATGCACATGTGTAGAGAAAATGGTGCATCGGCTAGTCTGGCCGGCATTTCGCACTCATAGTGCAGGTGGGGCCAGGGAGAACGGAAACGCTCGTTTCTCAAAAAGTAGAGGGAATCTAACGGTCTCACTCGATCACAAGGTGGGAAATATATAAATCTAGTCAGCTAAAAGGGTTTGAAATGTATTCAACGCACATGTATAGAGAAAATGGTGCATTGGCCAGGTCGGTCAGTATCGGAACTTAAAATACAAATGCTAGGGAGAACGGAAGCGCTTTAATCTCGCATAGTACACGGAATCTAGTGGTCTCACTCAAATAGAAGGTAGGAAATAAATTCATCTAGTGAACGTAAGGGTTTGAAAGGTAACTAACGCACATGTGTAGAGAAAATGGTGCATCGGCCAGTCTGGCCGGCATTTCGCACTTATAGTGCAAGTAGGGCCAAGGAGAGCGCAAACACTCGTTTCTCAAAAAGTAAAGGGAATCTAGCGGTCTCACTCGATCAGAAGGTGGGAAATATATAAATCTAGTCAGCTAATAAGGTTTGAAATGTATTCAACGCACATGTATAGAGAAAATGGTGCATTGGCCAGGTCGGTCAGTATCGGAACTTAAAATGCAAATGCCAGGGAGAACGAAAGCGCTCAGATCTCGCATAGTACACGGAATCAAGTGGTCTCACTCAAATAGAAAGTAGGAAATATATTTATCTAGTGAACGTAAGGGTTTGAAAGGTAACTAACGCACATGTGTAGAGAAAATTGTGCATCGGCCAGTCTGGCCGGCATTTCGCACTTATAGTGCAACTAGGGCCAAGGAGAACGGAAACGCTCATTTCTCAAAAAGTAGAAGGAATTTAGCGGTCTCACTCAATCACAAGGTGGGAAATATATAACTCTAGTGAGCTAATAAGGTTCGGAAGGAATCTAATGCATATGTATATGGAAAATGGTGCATTGGCCAGGTCGGTCAGTATGGGAACTTAGAGTGCAAATGCCAGGGAGAACGGAAGCGCTCAGATCTCGCATAGTACACGGAATCTAGTGGTCTCACTCAAATAGAAGGTAGGAAATAAATTCATCTAGTGAACGTAAGGGTTTGAAAGGTAACTAACGCACATGTGTAGAGAAAATGGTGCATCGGCCAGTCTGGCCGGCATTTCGCACTTATAGTGCAAGTAGGGCCAAGGAGAGCGGAAACACTCATTTCTCAAAAAGTAAAGGGAATCTAGCGGTCTCACTCGATCAGAAGGTGGGAAATATATAAATCTAGTGAGCTAATAAGGTTCGAAAGGAATCTAATGCATATGTATATGGAAAATGGTGCATTGGCCAGGTAGATCAGTATGGGAACTTAGAGTGCAAATGCCAAGGAGAACGAAAGCGCTCAGATCTCGCATAGTACACGGAATCTAGTGGTCTCACTCAAATATAAGGTAGGAAATATATTCATCTAGTGAATGTAAGGGTTTGAAAGGTAACTAATGCACATGTGTAGAGAAAATGGTGCATCGGCTGTGAAGTAAAGAAAACAGGAATAAAATGACTAAGGAAAGATTGGGTACAAATACAACCCTAGAAACCCTGTACCCCATATGTGCTACCCCACTATAGCCTACAGCAACTATGTCATATAAATGTGACACACCCCCATAGGCAAAGTGGGGGAGAACAAGGGGTCACAAGACCAGTCAAGCAAAGCAAAGCAAGCTCAGGGTGGATCACAAAGTCACCACACAGTCCGAGCACAAGAGTAGGGCCAGAGGCCAGTTCACATGCAGGAGTACAGACATATATATAAAACTAGACAAACAAGAGCAGGCATATATATATGTCACAGTACAAGTGAAGTCAAGAGGAGAGCAAGTGAGGCAAGACAGGCACAAGACCCAGCTGGGTGCAAAAGCGCTGATGGTCACAAGGCGCGAGTGCCTTGGTGAACACATCAGCAGTGTTGGCCTCAGAGGCCACGTACGCAAGTCGCAACTGACCACGCTGCTGCAGCTCACGAGCAAGGAAGTAGCGGAGAGCAATGTGCTTCGTTCTGTGCTCCAAGCGCTGCTCTCGACACAAGGCCAGCATAGCCTTGTTGTCTACGAACAGCACTGGAGGAGAACGAGGCGGCTCTCCAAGGTCAGTCAGCAGGTAGGTGAGCCAGCGAAGCTCCTGTGCAGCCATGGCCCCGGCGTAGATCTCAGCCTCACAACTGGAGCCGAGAACTGAAGACGAGCGAGTAGACCGCCACGAGACAGAGCCGGAACCAAGGCTGAAGGTGTAACCCTGTGACGACCGCTGCGTAGCCTGGTCGTCAGCCCAAGAAGCGTCCGCGTGGCCGGTAAGGACCACTGGACTCCGCCCTCCAAGCACTAGCCCCATGCCCGACGTACTGCACAGGTAGCGCAATACCCTCTTCGCTGCAGCCATGTGCTCCGGTCTGTGTCTCCCAGGAGCAACATAGCGTGCAAGAATGCTCAGAGGGTATGCAAGGTCAGGTCGTGTGCAGGTCATCAGGTACATGAGGCAGCCAACAAGCTCTGCATACGGGCCACTCGACTCTACGGACTCATCCAAAGGCAGAGCTGAGAGTGAGTGGCGAGTAGGCAGAGGAGTGGCCTGAGGCGAGGAAGTACGTGAAGCCGAAGCGCTGAAGGACCTGCTGCACCATGTGTGACTGAGTCAAGGTAATGGTGCGGCGTGCTCTGTCCCGAGTGATCTGCAAGCCAAGGTAGCTGCGCAGTTCACCCAGGTCTGTGCACGTGTGTCTCTTCAGCAGCTCGGACTTCACGTAGGCGAGTCCAGCAGTGTCCGCTGTGGCAAAGACCAAGTCGTCGACGTACACGAGGATGTAGAACGGCGGCAGGGAAGTGTCGGTGCGAAGAAACAGCGACGGGTCAGCAGTAGAAGGAGCAAACCCAAGAGCCGCAAGCGTAGTCCTCAGTGTGTCGTGCCACTCACGCGGTGCCTGGCGGAGACCGTAGACTGGCCGTCGGAGGCTCCACTGGGTGCCAGGAGGGAAAGTCCCAGTGAAGCCAGGTGGACGGCGAAGCCAGATCTCCTCGTGCAGGCTACCCTGCAAGAACGCAGTGCTGAAGTCGAGAGAGTGAAGCTCGTAGTCGCGCTGAGCGGCTATGTGCAGCAGCACCCGAAGAGTAGTCATCTTCGGGGTGGGAGAGAAGGTCTGAAAGTAGTCAACTCCCTGCCGCTGACTGAAGCCACGAGCAACGTACCGTGCCTTGAAGACAGGTGGAGAGCCCGGCGGCCGCTTCACCCTGAAGATCCACATGCCACTGACGATGTTCGCCCCAGGAGGGGGAACCGCGTCAACGTAGGTGCCTGTGGACTTCCAGGAAGCCATCTCTGCATCCATAGCTGCCTGCCACTGAGAGGAGTAGGGACCCTCTACGGCCTCCGCGTAAGAACGCGGAGTCGGGATGTCTAGTGCATCCGGGTCTCCCTCAGGGGCAAGCAGTACAGACGCGAGATGAGGTGAAGCAGCCGCTAGACACTGTAACTCCTCCTGCCTGTCCTCTAGGACGTCCGTGCCAAGAGCACACTCACCCCCGACGGACAGAGGACAGACAGACGCAGACTCAGCAACAAGACTAGCAGCGTAGTTGAGACGACAGCGAGCAGCAAAGTCAACGAGCTCAGCGACTAGAGCAGACGCAGCAGTGGACTCAAAAGAGGGGTCAGTAACGACAGTAGCAAGCAGACGCGTGACAGTAGGACTCGCAGCGCGAAGAGAGTCCGACTCAGGGTCGGCAAGCGCAGGAAGAGAGGACTCGGGAGGAGAAGGCAAAGGGGCACGCAGAGGAGCAGTGGACGGACGCAGAGACATCCGGTGCGTGCCAGGGACAGGAGGAGGACGCTGACGCGAACTGCGACCACTAGCGCGAGCAGCACGAACAGGCGACGCGGGACGAGACGCAGGCTCACGACGCTCAGCAAGACCTCCAGTAGGACCAGTGTAAGGAGAGGGAGCAGGCAGTGGAGAGGAAGGCTCCAGTAGGGACTGCGACTGGACAGGTGGTGGACCCTCTACTGGAGGAGAAAGACCAAGAACCTGCTGCAGGAGCGGAACGAAGTACGGCCGAGGCCGCGCGGCAGCTCCAGACTCAGCAGGGACAGCACCAGCACCCTCAGCTACAGCACCAGCGCCACCCACACCTCCAGCGGCAGGACCAACAGCAGCAGGCTCAGCACGAACGCCCTCAGCAGCTCCAGCTCCAGGAGGACCCGCAGGTCCAGCAGCTCCGGGACCGGCAGCACCCGCACCCTCGACGGTCGAAGAAGCTCCAGCTCCAGCTCCAGCAGCACCTCCAGACTCAGCAGCACGCCTCCAGCGGCGAGCGAACCACTCGCGCAGCTCCTGTGGAGAGAGGGGCTCCCGGCGAGACGCAGCAGCAGGAGAAACCCCAGGCTCAGCAGCTCCAGACGCAGCACCCCCAGGCTCAGCAGCTCCCAGCTCAGCACCCCCAGGCTCAGCAGCTCCCGACCCAGCACCCCCAGACCCAGCACCTCCAGGCACAGCACCCCCCGGCTCAGCACCCCCAGGCTCCGCACCCTCCGCAGTAGCACCCTCAGGCCCAGCACCCCCAGCAGTAGCACCCCCAGGCCCAGCACCCCCGCGCACAGCACCCCCAGAGTCAGCACCCCCAGGCTCAGCACCCGCAGCAGCACCAGAGTCACCAGTAACCTCGACCGGGTCAACGGCGTCTACCTGGGACACACCTGAGGGGGCAGGAACCTGAGGGGGGAGGGGGTCTACCGGGGGGGGAACCGGCACAAGGAAGTCCGGGGGAGGGGGGAGGGAAGGAGTGCGGTAGGGGAAGAGACGGTAGAAGGGGACTGACTCGTCGAACGTGACGTCCTGGGAGGACAGAACACGACGAGAGGAGGGGTGGTAAAACTGCCACCCTGGGGCGTCAGATGGGGAAGCCAAGGAAGACACAGGGAGCAGCACGAGGGGACAGCTTGTCCGCAGACAAGTCGCGGACAAACGCCCGAGATCCCCAGACACGGAACACAGACGCATCGCCAACCTTCCCCGTCCACAGCAAGGCTGGGGACATCGCAGGCCGAGAGACCCGGGGGTGAAGGTTGAGCTGATGCGCCGCGTACCTCACCGCAAACGGCCACAGAAAATGGGGGGCAGCCGCATGCATCATGGACGTACGAGCGACATCCATGACCATGCCAATGCGGCGCTCAGCAATCCCATTTTGCTGTGGTGAGTCCTGAAGCGTGAAGGTCTGGCGGATCCCCCGTGCACGACAGTAGTCTCGCAGAAGGCGAGAAGAGAACTCTCCGCCTCTGTCAGAGTGCAGACGCAGAACAGGAAAGTCCGAGCCGAAGCTCTTCCTGAGCTGGAGACGAGCCTCGCGGATCCAGTCGATCAGCACCTCAGTGACCGCACCCTTGCTGCGCAAGGGGAGGACTGTGGTGTAACGCGAGTAGTCGTCAACCACCAACAGGAAGTAGCGCTCGTAACCCTGCCCACGGACGGGGGCTGGGCCCCACACATCCATGTGAAGCGTCTGCAGGGGAGCCTCTGTCGGGGGGAAGTGGGAGGAGTGAGGAGTAGCCCGGAGGCGACCCTCGACACAGGGGACACAGGAAGGTCCTGGCCCGGAGGGGAGAGGAGGGAGAGACTGGGGAAGACCAGAGACAAGGACACGGGAAGCCATGCTCCGAAGACGGGGCAAGGAGGGGTGGCCAAGACGGTGGTGCCACAGGAGAGTCTCGTGAGACAGGAGGCGACAAGAACAGGGGGCAGACTCAGGACCTGACCGGGACGCAGCAGCAAGTACCTGACCCGACGCAGCCACCTGACCAGACGCAGGGACAGGAGGAGACTCAACGGTCAGGGTGTAGAGACTCGACCCCGGCCGACGCGAGAACGTGGCCAGGTGTCGGCCTGTGCGTGCCTCCGTGCAGTGGGTCACCCGCTGACTCGCAGGAGTGAACTGGTGAACACCCACATCCTGCAGGTCCGCTCCACTCACCAAGTTCGTAGAGAACGAGGGAAGGTACAGACCCGACAGGGTGCCCGAAGGGGCAGCCGGACACGGGAGGACAGTGGAGAAGTGAGACAGGACAGGACCCCCAGAGGGGTCAGCAAGGGAGACTGCAACCGGCCGGCCGAGCGGCGTAAGGGTAGTGCGGTCTCGAAAGAAGGAGCGAGAAGCTCCGGAGTCAAGTGTGAAAGTGAGGGAGGACGAGGACGACTCAGTACCTGAGAGCGCAGTCTCACCAGTACCTGAGAGCGCAGACGCACTGGCACCTAGAGCAGCAGCCTCACAAGCACCTAGCGCAGCAGTACCAATGCCCGGGTCGGGCTGGAAACAGCGGTAACCCTCATTCTCCTCACTATAATCCACAACATACATAGCAGTAAGGATAGCATCAAAATCAAGATCAAAGATCGCTACACCAGCCCTGAGAAGCCCTGGGAGAACGGAACCGCTCAGATCTCGCATAATACACGGAATCTAGTGGTCTCATTCAAATGTAAGGGAGGAAATATATTCATCTAGTGAACGTAAGGGTTTGAAAGGTAACTAACGCACATGTGTAGAGAAAATGGTGCATCGGCCAGTCTGGCCGGCATTTCGCACTCATAGTGCAGGTGGGGCCAGGGAGAACGGAAACGCTCGTTTCTCAAAAAGTAGAGGGAATCTAACGGTCTCACTCGATCAGAAGGTGGGAAATATATAAATCTAGTCAGCTAAAAAGGTTTGAAATGTATTCAACGCACATGTATAGAGAAAATGGTGCATTGGCCAGGTCGGTCAGTATCGGAACTTAAAATGCAAATGCCTGGGAGAACGGAAGCGCTCTAATCTCGCATAGTACACGAAATCAAGTGGTCTCACTCAAATAGAAAGTAGGAAATATATTTATCTAGTGAACGTAAGGGTTTGAAAGGTAACTAACGCACATGTGTAGAGAAAATTGTGCATCGGCCAGTCTGGCCGGCATTTCGCACTAATAGTGCAACTAGGGCCAAAGAGAACGGAAACGCTCATTTCTCAAAAAGTAGAGGGAATCTAGCGGTCTCACTCGATCCGAAGGTGGGAAATATATAAATCTAGTGAGCTAATAAGGTTCGAAAGGAATCTAATGCATATGTATATGGAAAATGGTGCATTGGCCAGGTCAGTCAGTATGGGAACTTAGAGTGCAAATGTCACGGAGAACGGAACCGCTCAGATCTCGCATAGTACACGGAATCTAGTGGTCTCACTCAAATAGAAGGTAGGAAATAAATTCATCTGGTGAACATAAGGGTTTGAAAGGTAACTAACGCACATGTGTAGAGAAAATGGTGCATCGGCCAGTCTGGCCGGCATTTCGCACTTATAGTGCAAGTAGGGCCAAGGAGAGCGGAAACACTCATTTCTCAAAAAGTAAAGGGAATCTAGCGGTCTCACTCGATCAGAAGGTGGGAAATATATAAATCTAGTGAGCTAATAAGGTTCGAAAGGAATCTAATGCATATGTATATGGAAAATGGTGCATTGGCCAGGTAGATCAGTATGGGAACTTAGAGTGCAAATGCCAAGGAGAACGAAAGCGCTCAGATCTCGCATAGTACACGGAATCTAGTGGTCTCACTCAAATATAAGGTAGGAAATATATTCATCTAGTGAATGTAAGGGTTTGAAAGGTAACTAATGCACATGTGTAGAGAAAATGGTGCATCGGCTAGTCTGGCCGGCATTTCGCACTCATAGTGCAGGTGGGGCCAGGGAGAACGGAAACGCTCGTTTCTCAAAAAGTAGAGGGAATCTAACGGTCTCACTCGATCACAAGGTGGGAAATATATAAATCTAGTCAGCTAAAAGGGTTTGAAATGTATTCAACGCACATGTATAGAGAAAATGGTGCATTGGCCAGGTCGGTCAGTATCGGAACTTAAAATACAAATGCTAGGGAGAACGGAAGCGCTTTAATCTCGCATAGTACACGGAATCTAGTGGTCTCACTCAAATAGAAGGTAGGAAATAAATTCATCTAGTGAACGTAAGGGTTTGAAAGGTAACTAACGCACATGTGTAGAGAAAATGGTGCATCGGCCAGTCTGGCCGGCATTTCGCACTTATAGTGCAAGTAGGGCCAAGGAGAGCGCAAACACTCGTTTCTCAAAAAGTAAAGGGAATCTAGCGGTCTCACTCGATCAGAAGGTGGGAAATATATAAATCTAGTCAGCTAATAAGGTTTGAAATGTATTCAACGCACATGTATAGAGAAAATGGTGCATTGGCCAGGTCGGTCAGTATCGGAACTTAAAATGCAAATGCCAGGGAGAACGAAAGCGCTCAGATCTCGCATAGTACACGGAATCAAGTGGTCTCACTCAAATAGAAAGTAGGAAATATATTTATCTAGTGAACGTAAGGGTTTGAAAGGTAACTAACGCACATGTGTAGAGAAAATTGTGCATCGGCCAGTCTGGCCGGCATTTCGCACTTATAGTGCAACTAGGGCCAAGGAGAACGGAAACGCTCATTTCTCAAAAAGTAGAAGGAATTTAGCGGTCTCACTCAATCACAAGGTGGGAAATATATAACTCTAGTGAGCTAATAAGGTTCGGAAGGAATCTAATGCATATGTATATGGAAAATGGTGCATTGGCCAGGTCGGTCAGTATGGGAACTTAGAGTGCAAATGCCAGGGAGAACGGAAGCGCTCAGATCTCGCATAGTACACGGAATCTAGTGGTCTCACTCAAATAGAAGGTAGGAAATAAATTCATCTAGTGAACGTAAGGGTTTGAAAGGTAACTAACGCACATGTGTAGAGAAAATGGTGCATCGGCCAGTCTGGCCGGCATTTCGCACTTATAGTGCAAGTAGGGCCAAGGAGAGCGGAAACACTCATTTCTCAAAAAGTAAAGGGAATCTAGCGGTCTCACTCGATCAGAAGGTGGGAAATATATAAATCTAGTGAGCTAATAAGGTTCGAAAGGAATCTAATGCATATGTATATGGAAAATGGTGCATTGGCCAGGTAGATCAGTATGGGAACTTAGAGTGCAAATGCCAAGGAGAACGAAAGCGCTCAGATCTCGCATAGTACACGGAATCTAGTGGTCTCACTCAAATATAAGGTAGGAAATATATTCATCTAGTGAATGTAAGGGTTTGAAAGGTAACTAATGCACATGTGTAGAGAAAATGGTGCATCGGCTGTGAAGTAAAGAAAACAGGAATAAAATGACTAAGGAAAGATTGGGTACAAATACAACCCTAGAAACCCTGTACCCCATATGTGCTACCCCACTATAGCCTACAGCAACTATGTCATATAAATCTGACACACCCCCATAGGCAAAGTGGGGGAGAACAAGGGGTCACAAGACCAGTCAAGCAAAGCAAAGCAAGCTCAGGGTGGATCACAAAGTCACCACACAGTCCGAGCACAAGAGTAGGGCCAGAGGCCAGTTCACATGCAGGAGTACAGACATATATATAAAACTAGACAAACAAGAGCAGGCATATATATATGTCACAGTACAAGTGAAGTCAAGAGGAGAGCAAGTGAGGCAAGACAGGCACAAGACCCAGCTGGGTGCAAAAGCGCTGATGGTCACAAGGCGCGAGTGCCTTGGTGAACACATCAGCAGTGTTGGCCTCAGAGGCCACGTACGCAAGTCGCAACTGACCACGCTGCTGCAGCTCACGAGCAAGGAAGTAGCGGAGAGCAATGTGCTTCGTTCTGTGCTCCAAGCGCTGCTCTCGACACAAGGCCAGCATAGCCTTGTTGTCTACGAACAGCACTGGAGGAGAACGAGGCGGCTCTCCAAGGTCAGTCAGCAGGTAGGTGAGCCAGCGAAGCTCCTGTGCAGCCATGGCCCCGGCGTAGATCTCAGCCTCACAACTGGAGCCGAGAACTGAAGACGAGCGAGTAGACCGCCACGAGACAGAGCCGGAACCAAGGCTGAAGGTGTAACCCTGTGACGACCGCTGCGTAGCCTGGTCGTCAGCCCAAGAAGCGTCCGCGTGGCCGGTAAGGACCACTGGACTCCGCCCTCCAAGCACTAGCCCCATGCCCGACGTACTGCACAGGTAGCGCAATACCCTCTTCGCTGCAGCCATGTGCTCCGGTCTGTGTCTCCCAGGAGCAACATAGCGTGCAAGAATGCTCAGAGGGTATGCAAGGTCAGGTCGTGTGCAGGTCATCAGGTACATGAGGCAGCCAACAAGCTCTGCATACGGGCCACTCGACTCTACGGACTCATCCGAAGGCAGAGCTGAGAGTGAGTGGCGAGTAGGCAGAGGAGTGGCCTGAGGCGAGAAGTACGTGAAGCCGAAGCGCTGAAGGACCTGCTGCACCATGTGTGACTGAGTCAAGGTAATGGTGCGGCGTGCTCTGTCCCGAGTGATCTGCAAGCCAAGGTAGCTGCGCAGTTCACCCAGGTCTGTGCACGTGTGTCTCTTCAGCAGCTCGGACTTCACGTAGGCGAGTCCAGCAGTGTCCGCTGTGGCAAAGACCAAGTCGTCGACGTACACGAGGATGTAGAACGGCGGCAGGGAAGTGTCGGTGCGAAGAAACAGCGACGGGTCAGCAGTAGAAGGAGCAAACCCAAGAGCCGCAAGCGTAGTCCTCAGTGTGTCGTGCCACTCACGCGGTGCCTGGCGGAGACCGTAGACTGGCCGTCGGAGGCTCCACTGGGTGCCAGGAGGGAAAGTCCCAGTGAAGCCAGGTGGACGGCGAAGCCAGATCTCCTCGTGCAGGCTACCCTGCAAGAACGCAGTGCTGAAGTCGAGAGAGTGAAGCTCGTAGTCGCGCTGAGCGGCTATGTGCAGCAGCACCCGAAGAGTAGTCATCTTCGGGGTGGGAGAGAAGGTCTGAAAGTAGTCAACTCCCTGCCGCTGACTGAAGCCACGAGCAACGTACCGTGCCTTGAAGACAGGTGGAGAGCCCGGCGGCCGCTTCACCCTGAAGATCCACATGCCACTGACGATGTTCGCCCCAGGAGGGGGAACCGCGTCAACGTAGGTGCCTGTGGACTTCCAGGAAGCCATCTCTGCATCCATAGCTGCCTGCCACTGAGAGGAGTAGGGACCCTCTACGGCCTCCGCGTAAGAACGCGGAGTCGGGATGTCTAGTGCATCCGGGTCTCCCTCAGGGGCAAGCAGTACAGACGCGAGATGAGGTGAAGCAGCCGCTAGACACTGTAACTCCTCCTGCCTGTCCTCTAGGACGTCCGTGCCAAGAGCACACTCACCCCCTGACGGACAGAGGACAGACAGACGCAGACTCAGCAACAAGACTAGCAGCGTAGTTGAGACGACAGCGAGCAGCAAAGTCAACGAGCTCAGCGACTAGAGCAGACGCAGCAGTGGACTCAAAAGAGGGGTCAGTAACGACAGTAGCAAGCAGACGCGTGACAGTAGGACTCGCAGCGCGAAGAGAGTCCGACTCAGGGTCGGCAAGCGCAGGAAGAGAGGACTCGGGAGGAGAAGGCAAAGGGGCACGCAGAGGAGCAGTGGACGGACGCAGAGACATCCGGTGCGTGCCAGGGACAGGAGGAGGACGCTGACGCGAACTGCGACCACTAGCGCGAGCAGCACGAACAGGCGACGCGGGACGAGACGCAGGCTCACGACGCTCAGCAAGACCTCCAGTAGGACCAGTGTAAGGAGAGGGAGCAGGCAGTGGAGAGGAAGGCTCCAGTAGGGACTGCGACTGGACAGGTGGTGGACCCTCTACTGGAGGAGAAAGACCAAGAACCTGCTGCAGGAGCGGAACGAAGTACGGCCGAGGCCGCGCGGCAGCTCCAGACTCAGCAGGGACAGCACCAGCACCCTCAGCTACAGCACCAGCGCCACCCACACCTCCAGCGGCAGGACCAACAGCAGCAGGCTCAGCACGAACGCCCTCAGCAGCTCCAGCTCCAGGAGGACCCGCAGGTCCAGCAGCTCCGGGACCGGCAGCACCCGCACCCTCGACGGTCGAAGAAGCTCCAGCTCCAGCTCCAGCAGCACCTCCAGACTCAGCAGCACGCCTCCAGCGGCGAGCGAACCACTCGCGCAGCTCCTGTGGAGAGAGGGGCTCCCGGCGAGACGCAGCAGCAGGAGAAACCCCAGGCTCAGCAGCTCCAGACGCAGCACCCCCAGGCTCAGCAGCTCCCAGCTCAGCACCCCCAGGCTCAGCAGCTCCCGACCCAGCACCCCCAGACCCAGCACCTCCAGGCACAGCACCCCCCGGCTCAGCACCCCCAGGCTCCGCACCCTCCGCAGTAGCACCCTCAGGCCCAGCACCCCCAGCAGTAGCACCCCCAGGCCCAGCACCCCCGCGCACAGCACCCCCAGAGTCAGCACCCCCAGGCTCAGCACCCGCAGCAGCACCAGAGTCACCAGTAACCTCGACCGGGTCAACGGCGTCTACCTGGGACACACCTGAGGGGGCAGGAACCTGAGGGGGGAGGGGGTCTACCGGGGGGGGAACCGGCACAAGGAAGTCCGGGGGAGGGGGGAGGGAAGGAGTGCGGTAGGGGAAGAGACGGTAGAAGGGGACTGACTCGTCGAACGTGACGTCCTGGGAGGACAGAACACGACGAGAGGAGGGGTGGTAAAACTGCCACCCTGGGGCGTCAGAGGGGAAGCCAAGGAAGACACAGGGAGCAGCACGAGGGGACAGCTTGTCCGCAGACAAGTCGCGGACAAACGCCCGAGATCCCCAGACACGGAACACAGACGCATCGCCAACCTTCCCCGTCCACAGCAAGGCTGGGGACATCGCAGGCCGAGAGACCCGGGGGTGAAGGTTGAGCTGATGCGCCGCGTACCTCACCGCAAACGGCCACAGAAAATGGGGGGCAGCCGCATGCATCATGGACGTACGAGCGACATCCATGACCATGCCAATGCGGCGCTCAGCAATCCCATTTTGCTGTGGTGAGTCCTGAAGCGTGAAGGTCTGGCGGATCCCCCGTGCACGACAGTAGTCTCGCAGAAGGCGAGAAGAGAACTCTCCGCCTCTGTCAGAGTGCAGACGCAGAACAGGAAAGTCCGAGCCGAAGCTCTTCCTGAGCTGGAGACGAGCCTCGCGGATCCAGTCGATCAGCACCTCAGTGACCGCACCCTTGCTGCGCAAGGGGAGGACTGTGGTGTAACGCGAGTAGTCGTCAACCACCAACAGGAAGTAGCGCTCGTAACCCTGCCCACGGACGGGGGCTGGGCCCCACACATCCATGTGAAGCGTCTGCAGGGGAGCCTCTGTCGGGGGGAAGTGGGAGGAGTGAGGAGTAGCCCGGAGGCGACCCTCGACACAGGGGACACAGGAAGGTCCTGGCCCGGAGGGGAGAGGAGGGAGAGACTGGGGAAGACCAGAGACAAGGACACGGGAAGCCATGCTCCGAAGACGGGGCAAGGAGGGGTGGCCAAGACGGTGGTGCCACAGGAGAGTCTCGTGAGACAGGAGGCGACAAGAACAGGGGGCAGACTCAGGACCTGACCGGGACGCAGCAGCAAGTACCTGACCCGACGCAGCCACCTGACCAGACGCAGGGACAGGAGGAGACTCAACGGTCAGGGTGTAGAGACTCGACCCCGGCCGACGCGAGAACGTGGCCAGGTGTCGGCCTGTGCGTGCCTCCGTGCAGTGGGTCACCCGCTGACTCGCAGGAGTGAACTGGTGAACACCCACATCCTGCAGGTCCGCTCCACTCACCAAGTTCGTAGAGAACGAGGGAAGGTACAGACCCGACAGGGTGCCCGAAGGGGCAGCCGGACACGGGAGGACAGTGGAGAAGTGAGACAGGACAGGACCCCCAGAGGGGTCAGCAAGGGAGACTGCAACCGGCCGGCCGAGCGGCGTAAGGGTAGTGCGGTCTCGAAAGAAGGAGCGAGAAGCTCCGGAGTCAAGTGTGAAAGTGAGGGAGGACGAGGACGACTCAGTACCTGAGAGCGCAGTCTCACCAGTACCTGAGAGCGCAGACGCACTGGCACCTAGAGCAGCAGCCTCACAAGCACCTAGCGCAGCAGTACCAATGCCCGGGTCGGGCTGGAAACAGCGGTAACCCTCATTCTCCTCACTATAATCCACAACATACATAGCAGTAAGGATAGCATCAAAATCAAGATCAAAGATCGCTACACCAGCCCTGAGAAGCCCTGGGAGAACGGAACCGCTCAGATCTCGCATAATACACGGAATCTAGTGGTCTCATTCAAATGTAAGGGAGGAAATATATTCATCTAGTGAACGTAAGGGTTTGAAAGGTAACTAACGCACATGTGTAGAGAAAATGGTGCATCGGCCAGTCTGGCCGGCATTTCGCACTCATAGTGCAGGTGGGGCCAGGGAGAACGGAAACGCTCGTTTCTCAAAAAGTAGAGGGAATCTAACGGTCTCACTCGATCAGAAGGTGGGAAATATATAAATCTAGTCAGCTAAAAAGGTTTGAAATGTATTCAACGCACATGTATAGAGAAAATGGTGCATTGGCCAGGTCGGTCAGTATCGGAACTTAAAATGCAAATGCCTGGGAGAACGGAAGCGCTCTAATCTCGCATAGTACACGAAATCAAGTGGTCTCACTCAAATAGAAAGTAGGAAATATATTTATCTAGTGAACGTAAGGGTTTGAAAGGTAACTAACGCACATGTGTAGAGAAAATTGTGCATCGGCCAGTCTGGCCGGCATTTCGCACTAATAGTGCAACTAGGGCCAAAGAGAACGGAAACGCTCATTTCTCAAAAAGTAGAGGGAATCTAGCGGTCTCACTCGATCCGAAGGTGGGAAATATATAAATCTAGTGAGCTAATAAGGTTCGAAAGGAATCTAATGCATATGTATATGGAAAATGGTGCATTGGCCAGGTCAGTCAGTATGGGAACTTAGAGTGCAAATGTCACGGAGAACGGAACCGCTCAGATCTCGCATAGTACACGGAATCTAGTGGTCTCACTCAAATAGAAGGTAGGAAATAAATTCATCTGGTGAACATAAGGGTTTGAAAGGTAACTAACGCACATGTGTAGAGAAAATGGTGCATCGGCCAGTCTGGCCGGCATTTCGCACTTATAGTGCAAGTAGGGCCAAGGAGAGCGGAAACACTCATTTCTCAAAAAGTAAAGGGAATCTAGCGGTCTCACTCGATCAGAAGGTGGGAAATATATAAATCTAGTGAGCTAATAAGGTTCGAAAGGAATCTAATGCATATGTATATGGAAAATGGTGCATTGGCCAGGTAGATCAGTATGGGAACTTAGAGTGCAAATGCCAAGGAGAACGAAAGCGCTCAGATCTCGCATAGTACACGGAATCTAGTGGTCTCACTCAAATATAAGGTAGGAAATATATTCATCTAGTGAATGTAAGGGTTTGAAAGGTAACTAATGCACATGTGTAGAGAAAATGGTGCATCGGCTAGTCTGGCCGGCATTTCGCACTCATAGTGCAGGTGGGGCCAGGGAGAACGGAAACGCTCGTTTCTCAAAAAGTAGAGGGAATCTAACGGTCTCACTCGATCACAAGGTGGGAAATATATAAATCTAGTCAGCTAAAAGGGTTTGAAATGTATTCAACGCACATGTATAGAGAAAATGGTGCATTGGCCAGGTCGGTCAGTATCGGAACTTAAAATACAAATGCTAGGGAGAACGGAAGCGCTTTAATCTCGCATAGTACACGGAATCTAGTGGTCTCACTCAAATAGAAGGTAGGAAATAAATTCATCTAGTGAACGTAAGGGTTTGAAAGGTAACTAACGCACATGTGTAGAGAAAATGGTGCATCGGCCAGTCTGGCCGGCATTTCGCACTTATAGTGCAAGTAGGGCCAAGGAGAGCGCAAACACTCGTTTCTCAAAAAGTAAAGGGAATCTAGCGGTCTCACTCGATCAGAAGGTGGGAAATATATAAATCTAGTCAGCTAATAAGGTTTGAAATGTATTCAACGCACATGTATAGAGAAAATGGTGCATTGGCCAGGTCGGTCAGTATCGGAACTTAAAATGCAAATGCCAGGGAGAACGAAAGCGCTCAGATCTCGCATAGTACACGGAATCAAGTGGTCTCACTCAAATAGAAAGTAGGAAATATATTTATCTAGTGAACGTAAGGGTTTGAAAGGTAACTAACGCACATGTGTAGAGAAAATTGTGCATCGGCCAGTCTGGCCGGCATTTCGCACTTATAGTGCAACTAGGGCCAAGGAGAACGGAAACGCTCATTTCTCAAAAAGTAGAAGGAATTTAGCGGTCTCACTCAATCACAAGGTGGGAAATATATAACTCTAGTGAGCTAATAAGGTTCGGAAGGAATCTAATGCATATGTATATGGAAAATGGTGCATTGGCCAGGTCGGTCAGTATGGGAACTTAGAGTGCAAATGCCAGGGAGAACGGAAGCGCTCAGATCTCGCATAGTACACGGAATCTAGTGGTCTCACTCAAATAGAAGGTAGGAAATAAATTCATCTAGTGAACGTAAGGGTTTGAAAGGTAACTAACGCACATGTGTAGAGAAAATGGTGCATCGGCCAGTCTGGCCGGCATTTCGCACTTATAGTGCAAGTAGGGCCAAGGAGAGCGGAAACACTCATTTCTCAAAAAGTAAAGGGAATCTAGCGGTCTCACTCGATCAGAAGGTGGGAAATATATAAATCTAGTGAGCTAATAAGGTTCGAAAGGAATCTAATGCATATGTATATGGAAAATGGTGCATTGGCCAGGTAGATCAGTATGGGAACTTAGAGTGCAAATGCCAAGGAGAACGAAAGCGCTCAGATCTCGCATAGTACACGGAATCTAGTGGTCTCACTCAAATATAAGGTAGGAAATATATTCATCTAGTGAATGTAAGGGTTTGAAAGGTAACTAATGCACATGTGTAGAGAAAATGGTGCATCGGCTGTGAAGTAAAGAAAACAGGAATAAAATGACTAAGGAAAGATTGGGTACAAATACAACCCTAGAAACCCTGTACCCCATATGTGCTACCCCACTATAGCCTACAGCAACTATGTCATATAAATCTGACACACCCCCATAGGCAAAGTGGGGGAGAACAAGGGGTCACAAGACCAGTCAAGCAAAGCAAAGCAAGCTCAGGGTGGATCACAAAGTCACCACACAGTCCGAGCACAAGAGTAGGGCCAGAGGCCAGTTCACATGCAGGAGTACAGACATATATATAAAACTAGACAAACAAGAGCAGGCATATATATATGTCACAGTACAAGTGAAGTCAAGAGGAGAGCAAGTGAGGCAAGACAGGCACAAGACCCAGCTGGGTGCAAAAGCGCTGATGGTCACAAGGCGCGAGTGCCTTGGTGAACACATCAGCAGTGTTGGCCTCAGAGGCCACGTACGCAAGTCGCAACTGACCACGCTGCTGCAGCTCACGAGCAAGGAAGTAGCGGAGAGCAATGTGCTTCGTTCTGTGCTCCAAGCGCTGCTCTCGACACAAGGCCAGCATAGCCTTGTTGTCTACGAACAGCACTGGAGGAGAACGAGGCGGCTCTCCAAGGTCAGTCAGCAGGTAGGTGAGCCAGCGAAGCTCCTGTGCAGCCATGGCCCCGGCGTAGATCTCAGCCTCACAACTGGAGCCGAGAACTGAAGACGAGCGAGTAGACCGCCACGAGACAGAGCCGGAACCAAGGCTGAAGGTGTAACCCTGTGACGACCGCTGCGTAGCCTGGTCGTCAGCCCAAGAAGCGTCCGCGTGGCCGGTAAGGACCACTGGACTCCGCCCTCCAAGCACTAGCCCCATGCCCGACGTACTGCACAGGTAGCGCAATACCCTCTTCGCTGCAGCCATGTGCTCCGGTCTGTGTCTCCCAGGAGCAACATAGTGTGCAAGAATGCTCAGAGGGTATGCAAGGTCAGGTCGTGTGCAGGTCATCAGGTACATGAGGCAGCCAACAAGCTCTGCATACGGGCCACTCGACTCTACGGACTCATCCGAAGGCAGAGCTGAGAGTGAGTGGCGAGTAGGCAGAGGAGTGGCCTGAGGCGAGGAGTACGTGAAGCCGAAGCGCCGAAGGACCTGCTGCACCATGTGTGACTGAGTCAAGGTAATGGTGCGGCGTGCTCTGTCCCGAGTGATCTGCAAGCCAAGGTAGCTGCGCAGTTCACCCAGGTCTGTGCACGTGTGTCTCTTCAGCAGCTCGGACTTCACGTAGGCGAGTCCAGCAGTGTCCGCTGTGGCAAAGACCAAGTCGTCGACGTACACGAGGATGTAGAACGGCGGCAGGGAAGTGTCGGTGCGAAGAAACAGCGACGGGTCAGCAGTAGAAGGAGCAAACCCAAGAGCCGCAAGCGTAGTCCTCAGTGTGTCGTGCCACTCACGCGGTGCCTGGCGGAGACCGTAGACTGGCCGTCGGAGGCTCCACTGGGTGCCAGGAGGGAAAGTCCCAGTGAAGCCAGGTGGACGGCGAAGCCAGATCTCCTCGTGCAGGCTACCCTGCAAGAACGCAGTGCTGAAGTCGAGAGAGTGAAGCTCGTAGTCGCGCTGAGCGGCTATGTGCAGCAGCACCCGAAGAGTAGTCATCTTCGGGGTGGGAGAGAAGGTCTGAAAGTAGTCAACTCCCTGCCGCTGACTGAAGCCACGAGCAACGTACCGTGCCTTGAAGACAGGTGGAGAGCCCGGCGGCCGCTTCACCCTGAAGATCCACATGCCACTGACGATGTTCGCCCCAGGAGGGGGAACCGCGTCAACGTAGGTGCCTGTGGACTTCCAGGAAGCCATCTCTGCATCCATAGCTGCCTGCCACTGAGAGGAGTATGGACCCTCTACGGCCTCCGCGTAAGAACGCGGAGTCGGGATGTCTAGTGCATCCGGGTCTCCCTCAGGGGCAAGCAGTACAGACGCGAGATGAGGTGAAGCAGCCGCTAGACACTGTAACTCCTCCTGCCTGTCCTCTAGGACGTCCGTGCCAAGAGCACACTCACCCCCGACGGACAGAGGACAGACAGACGCAGACTCAGCAACAAGACTAGCAGCGTAGTTGAGACGACAGCGAGCAGCAAAGTCAACGAGCTCAGCGACTAGAGCAGACGCAGCAGTGGACTCAAAAGAGGGGTCAGTGACGACAGTAGCAAGCAGACGCGTGACAGTAGGACTCGCAGCGCGAAGAGAGTCCGACTCAGGGTCGGCAAGCGCAGGAAGAGAGGACTCAGGAGGAGAAGGCAAAGGGGCACGCAGAGGAGCAGTGGACGGACGCAGAGACATCCGGTGCGTGCCAGGGACAGGAGGAGGACGCTGACGCGAACTGCGACCACTAGCGCGAGCAGCACGAACAGGCGACGCGGGACGAGACGCAGGCTCACGACGCTCAGCAAGACCTCCAGTAGGACCAGTGTAAGGAGAGGGAGCAGGCAGTGGAGAGGAAGGCTCCAGTAGGGACTGCGACTGGACAGGTGGTGGACCCTCTACTGGAGGAGAAAGACCAAGAACCTGCTGCAGGAGCGGAACGAAGTACGGCCGAGGCCGCGCGGCAGCTCCAGACTCAGCAGGGACAGCACCAGCACCCTCAGCTACAGCACCAGCGCCACCCACACCTCCAGCGGCAGGACCAACAGCAGCAGGCTCAGCACGAACGCCCTCAGCAGCTCCAGCTCCAGGAGGACCCGCAGGTCCAGCAGCTCCGGGACCGGCAGCACCCGCACCCTCGACGGTCGAAGAAGCTCCAGCTCCAGCTCCAGCAGCACCTCCAGACTCAGCAGCACGCCTCCAGCGGCGAGCGAACCACTCGCGCAGCTCCTGTGGAGAGAGGGGCTCCCGGCGAGACGCAGCAGCAGGAGAAACCCCAGGCTCAGCAGCTCCAGACGCAGCACCCCCAGGCTCAGCAGCTCCCAGCTCAGCACCCCCAGGCTCAGCAGCTCCCGACCCAGCACCCCCAGACCCAGCACCTCCAGGCACAGCACCCCCCGGCTCAGCACCCCCAGGCTCCGCACCCTCCGCAGTAGCACCCTCAGGCCCAGCACCCCCAGCAGTAGCACCCCCAGGCCCAGCACCCCCGCGCACAGCACCCCCAGAGTCAGCACCCCCAGGCTCAGCACCCGCAGCAGCACCAGAGTCACCAGTAACCTCGACCGGGTCAACGGCGTCTACCTGGGACACACCTGAGGGGGCAGGAACCTGAGGGGGGAGGGGGTCTACCGGGGGGGGAACCGGCACAAGGAAGTCCGGGGGAGGGGGGAGGGAAGGAGTGCGGTAGGGGAAGAGACGGTAGAAGGGGACTGACTCGTCGAACGTGACGTCCTGGGAGGACAGAACACGACGAGAGGAGGGGTGGTAAAACTGCCACCCTGGGGCGTCAGTGGGGAAGCCAAGGAAGACACAGGGAGCAGCACGAGGGGACAGCTTGTCCGCAGACAAGTCGCGGACAAACGCCCGAGATCCCCAGACACGGAACACAGACGCATCGCCAACCTTCCCCGTCCACAGCAAGGCTGGGGACATCGCAGGCCGAGAGACCCGGGGGTGAAGGTTGAGCTGATGCGCCGCGTACCTCACCGCAAACGGCCACAGAAAATGGGGGGCAGCCGCATGCATCATGGACGTACGAGCGACATCCATGACCATGCCAATGCGGCGCTCAGCAATCCCATTTTGCTGTGGTGAGTCCTGAAGCGTGAAGGTCTGGCGGATCCCCCGTGCACGACAGTAGTCTCGCAGAAGGCGAGAAGAGAACTCTCCGCCTCTGTCCGAGTGCAGACGCAGAACAGGAAAGTCCGAGCCGAAGCTCTTCCTGAGCTGGAGACGAGCCTCGCGGATCCAGTCGATCAGCACCTCAGTGACCGCACCCTTGCTGCGCAAGGGGAGGACTGTGGTGTAACGCGAGTAGTCGTCAACCACCAACAGGAAGTAGCGCTCGTAACCCTGCCCACGGACGGGGGCTGGGCCCCACACATCCATGTGAAGCGTCTGCAGGGGAGCCTCTGTCGGGGGGAAGTGGGAGGAGTGAGGAGTAGCCCGGAGGCGACCCTCGACACAGGGGACACAGGAAGGTCCTGGCCCGGAGGGGAGAGGAGGGAGAGACTGGGGAAGACCAGAGACAAGGACACGGGAATCCATGCTCCGAAGACGGGGCAAGGAGGGGTGGCCAAGACGGTGGTGCCACAGGAGAGTCTCGTGAGACAGGAGGCGACAAGAACAGGGGGCAGACTCAGGACCTGACCGGGACGCAGCAGCAAGTACCTGACCCGACGCAGCCACCTGACCAGACGCAGGGACAGGAGGAGACTCAACGGTCAGGGTGTAGAGACTCGACCCCGGCCGACGCGAGAACGTGGCCAGGTGTCGGCCTGTGCGTGCCTCCGTGCAGTGGGTCACCCGCTGACTCGCAGGAGTGAACTGGTGAACACCCACATCCTGCAGGTCCGCTCCACTCACCAAGTTCGTAGAGAACGAGGGAAGGTACAGACCCGACAGGGTGCCCGAAGGGGCAGCCGGACACGGGAGGACAGTGGAGAAGTGAGACAGGACAGGACCCCCAGAGGGGTCAGCAAGGGAGACTGCAACCGGCCGGCCGAGCGGCGTAAGGGTAGTGCGGTCTCGAAAGAAGGAGCGAGAAGCTCCGGAGTCAAGTGTGAAAGTGAGGGAGGACGAGGACGACTCAGTACCTGAGAGCGCAGTCTCACCAGTACCTGAGAGCGCAGACGCACTGGCACCTAGAGCAGCAGCCTCACAAGCACCTAGCGCAGCAGTACCAATGCCCGGGTCGGGCTGGAAACAGCGGTAACCCTCATTCTCCTCACTATAATCCACAACATACATAGCAGTAAGGATAGCATCAAAATCAAGATCAAAGATCGCTACACCAGCCCTGAGAAGCCCTGGGAGAACGGAACCGCTCAGATCTCGCATAATACACGGAATCTAGTGGTCTCATTCAAATGTAAGGGAGGAAATATATTCATCTAGTGAACGTAAGGGTTTGAAAGGTAACTAACGCACATGTGTAGAGAAAATGGTGCATCGGCCAGTCTGGCCGGCATTTCGCACTCATAGTGCAGGTGGGGCCAGGGAGAACGGAAACGCTCGTTTCTCAAAAAGTAGAGGGAATCTAACGGTCTCACTCGATCAGAAGGTGGGAAATATATAAATCTAGTCAGCTAAAAAGGTTTGAAATGTATTCAACGCACATGTATAGAGAAAATGGTGCATTGGCCAGGTCGGTCAGTATCGGAACTTAAAATGCAAATGCCTGGGAGAACGGAAGCGCTCTAATCTCGCATAGTACACGAAATCAAGTGGTCTCACTCAAATAGAAAGTAGGAAATATATTTATCTAGTGAACGTAAGGGTTTGAAAGGTAACTAACGCACATGTGTAGAGAAAATTGTGCATCGGCCAGTCTGGCCGGCATTTCGCACTAATAGTGCAACTAGGGCCAAAGAGAACGGAAACGCTCATTTCTCAAAAAGTAGAGGGAATCTAGCGGTCTCACTCGATCCGAAGGTGGGAAATATATAAATCTAGTGAGCTAATAAGGTTCGAAAGGAATCTAATGCATATGTATATGGAAAATGGTGCATTGGCCAGGTCAGTCAGTATGGGAACTTAGAGTGCAAATGTCACGGAGAACGGAACCGCTCAGATCTCGCATAGTACACGGAATCTAGTGGTCTCACTCAAATAGAAGGTAGGAAATAAATTCATCTGGTGAACATAAGGGTTTGAAAGGTAACTAACGCACATGTGTAGAGAAAATGGTGCATCGGCCAGTCTGGCCGGCATTTCGCACTTATAGTGCAAGTAGGGCCAAGGAGAGCGGAAACACTCATTTCTCAAAAAGTAAAGGGAATCTAGCGGTCTCACTCGATCAGAAGGTGGGAAATATATAAATCTAGTGAGCTAATAAGGTTCGAAAGGAATCTAATGCATATGTATATGGAAAATGGTGCATTGGCCAGGTAGATCAGTATGGGAACTTAGAGTGCAAATGCCAAGGAGAACGAAAGCGCTCAGATCTCGCATAGTACACGGAATCTAGTGGTCTCACTCAAATATAAGGTAGGAAATATATTCATCTAGTGAATGTAAGGGTTTGAAAGGTAACTAATGCACATGTGTAGAGAAAATGGTGCATCGGCTAGTCTGGCCGGCATTTCGCACTCATAGTGCAGGTGGGGCCAGGGAGAACGGAAACGCTCGTTTCTCAAAAAGTAGAGGGAATCTAACGGTCTCACTCGATCACAAGGTGGGAAATATATAAATCTAGTCAGCTAAAAGGGTTTGAAATGTATTCAACGCACATGTATAGAGAAAATGGTGCATTGGCCAGGTCGGTCAGTATCGGAACTTAAAATACAAATGCTAGGGAGAACGGAAGCGCTTTAATCTCGCATAGTACACGGAATCTAGTGGTCTCACTCAAATAGAAGGTAGGAAATAAATTCATCTAGTGAACGTAAGGGTTTGAAAGGTAACTAACGCACATGTGTAGAGAAAATGGTGCATCGGCCAGTCTGGCCGGCATTTCGCACTTATAGTGCAAGTAGGGCCAAGGAGAGCGCAAACACTCGTTTCTCAAAAAGTAAAGGGAATCTAGCGGTCTCACTCGATCAGAAGGTGGGAAATATATAAATCTAGTCAGCTAATAAGGTTTGAAATGTATTCAACGCACATGTATAGAGAAAATGGTGCATTGGCCAGGTCGGTCAGTATCGGAACTTAAAATGCAAATGCCAGGGAGAACGAAAGCGCTCAGATCTCGCATAGTACACGGAATCAAGTGGTCTCACTCAAATAGAAAGTAGGAAATATATTTATCTAGTGAACGTAAGGGTTTGAAAGGTAACTAACGCACATGTGTAGAGAAAATTGTGCATCGGCCAGTCTGGCCGGCATTTCGCACTTATAGTGCAACTAGGGCCAAGGAGAACGGAAACGCTCATTTCTCAAAAAGTAGAAGGAATTTAGCGGTCTCACTCAATCACAAGGTGGGAAATATATAACTCTAGTGAGCTAATAAGGTTCGGAAGGAATCTAATGCATATGTATATGGAAAATGGTGCATTGGCCAGGTCGGTCAGTATGGGAACTTAGAGTGCAAATGCCAGGGAGAACGGAAGCGCTCAGATCTCGCATAGTACACGGAATCTAGTGGTCTCACTCAAATAGAAGGTAGGAAATAAATTCATCTAGTGAACGTAAGGGTTTGAAAGGTAACTAACGCACATGTGTAGAGAAAATGGTGCATCGGCCAGTCTGGCCGGCATTTCGCACTTATAGTGCAAGTAGGGCCAAGGAGAGCGGAAACACTCATTTCTCAAAAAGTAAAGGGAATCTAGCGGTCTCACTCGATCAGAAGGTGGGAAATATATAAATCTAGTGAGCTAATAAGGTTCGAAAGGAATCTAATGCATATGTATATGGAAAATGGTGCATTGGCCAGGTAGATCAGTATGGGAACTTAGAGTGCAAATGCCAAGGAGAACGAAAGCGCTCAGATCTCGCATAGTACACGGAATCTAGTGGTCTCACTCAAATATAAGGTAGGAAATATATTCATCTAGTGAATGTAAGGGTTTGAAAGGTAACTAATGCACATGTGTAGAGAAAATGGTGCATCGGCTGTGAAGTAAAGAAAACAGGAATAAAATGACTAAGGAAAGATTGGGTACAAATACAACCCTAGAAACCCTGTACCCCATATGTGCTACCCCACTATAGCCTACAGCAACTATGTCATATAAATCTGACACACCCCCATAGGCAAAGTGGGGGAGAACAAGGGGTCACAAGACCAGTCAAGCAAAGCAAAGCAAGCTCAGGGTGGATCACAAAGTCACCACACAGTCCGAGCACAAGAGTAGGGCCAGAGGCCAGTTCACATGCAGGAGTACAGACATATATATAAAACTAGACAAACAAGAGCAGGCATATATATATGTCACAGTACAAGTGAAGTCAAGAGGAGAGCAAGTGAGGCAAGACAGGCACAAGACCCAGCTGGGTGCAAAAGCGCTGATGGTCACAAGGCGCGAGTGCCTTGGTGAACACATCAGCAGTGTTGGCCTCAGAGGCCACGTACGCAAGTCGCAACTGACCACGCTGCTGCAGCTCACGAGCAAGGAAGTAGCGGAGAGCAATGTGCTTCGTTCTGTGCTCCAAGCGCTGCTCTCGACACAAGGCCAGCATAGCCTTGTTGTCTACGAACAGCACTGGAGGAGAACGAGGCGGCTCTCCAAGGTCAGTCAGCAGGTAGGTGAGCCAGCGAAGCTCCTGTGCAGCCATGGCCCCGGCGTAGATCTCAGCCTCACAACTGGAGCCGAGAACTGAAGACGAGCGAGTAGACCGCCACGAGACAGAGCCGGAACCAAGGCTGAAGGTGTAACCCTGTGACGACCGCTGCGTAGCCTGGTCGTCAGCCCAAGAAGCGTCCGCGTGGCCGGTAAGGACCACTGGACTCCGCCCTCCAAGCACTAGCCCCATGCCCGACGTACTGCACAGGTAGCGCAATACCCTCTTCGCTGCAGCCATGTGCTCCGGTCTGTGTCTCCCAGGAGCAACATAGTGTGCAAGAATGCTCAGAGGGTATGCAAGGTCAGGTCGTGTGCAGGTCATCAGGTACATGAGGCAGCCAACAAGCTCTGCATACGGGCCACTCGACTCTACGGACTCATCCGAAGGCAGAGCTGAGAGTGAGTGGCGAGTAGGCAGAGGAGTGGCCTGAGGCGAGGAGTACGTGAAGCCGAAGCGCCGAAGGACCTGCTGCACCATGTGTGACTGAGTCAAGGTAATGGTGCGGCGTGCTCTGTCCCGAGTGATCTGCAAGCCAAGGTAGCTGCGCAGTTCACCCAGGTCTGTGCACGTGTGTCTCTTCAGCAGCTCGGACTTCACGTAGGCGAGTCCAGCAGTGTCCGCTGTGGCAAAGACCAAGTCGTCGACGTACACGAGGATGTAGAACGGCGGCAGGGAAGTGTCGGTGCGAAGAAACAGCGACGGGTCAGCAGTAGAAGGAGCAAACCCAAGAGCCGCAAGCGTAGTCCTCAGTGTGTCGTGCCACTCACGCGGTGCCTGGCGGAGACCGTAGACTGGCCGTCGGAGGCTCCACTGGGTGCCAGGAGGGAAAGTCCCAGTGAAGCCAGGTGGACGGCGAAGCCAGATCTCCTCGTGCAGGCTACCCTGCAAGAACGCAGTGCTGAAGTCGAGAGAGTGAAGCTCGTAGTCGCGCTGAGCGGCTATGTGCAGCAGCACCCGAAGAGTAGTCATCTTCGGGGTGGGAGAGAAGGTCTGAAAGTAGTCAACTCCCTGCCGCTGACTGAAGCCACGAGCAACGTACCGTGCCTTGAAGACAGGTGGAGAGCCCGGCGGCCGCTTCACCCTGAAGATCCACATGCCACTGACGATGTTCGCCCCAGGAGGGGGAACCGCGTCAACGTAGGTGCCTGTGGACTTCCAGGAAGCCATCTCTGCATCCATAGCTGCCTGCCACTGAGAGGAGTAGGGACCCTCTACGGCCTCCGCGTAAGAACGCGGAGTCGGGATGTCTAGTGCATCCGGGTCTCCCTCAGGGGCAAGCAGTACAGACGCGAGATGAGGTGAAGCAGCCGCTAGACACTGTAACTCCTCCTGCCTGTCCTCTAGGACGTCCGTGCCAAGAGCACACTCACCCCCGACGGACAGAGGACAGACAGACGCAGACTCAGCAACAAGACTAGCAGCGTAGTTGAGACGACAGCGAGCAGCAAAGTCAACGAGCTCAGCGACTAGAGCAGACGCAGCAGTGGACTCAAAAGAGGGGTCAGTGACGACAGTAGCAAGCAGACGCGTAACAGTAGGACTCGCAGCGCGAAGAGAGTCCGACTCAGGGTCGGCAAGCGCAGGAAGAGAGGACTCAGGAGGAGAAGGCAAAGGGG